TAATTTTATTTGTAATTTGAACACCAATTCTGTCAACCAATTCATTTTTCTGTATTTTAGTCATATTTTTGACAAGCATTTTAGTTTTTTCTTTATTTATTTTTAAACCTGCTATTTCCCCATATCTATTCCCATATCTGCTTCCAGAACTGCACTGTTTCTTCCTTGTCAGGTACTGACTGATTCCTTGCAGTTTCTCCATTGATGGATTGGTAGAAACGTTTCTGATTGGATTGAAATTGGAGGTTCTGCCTATAGTTTGCAATTCGAGCTTCATATCTACTGATTTTCCTGGCTATAGCTGTTATTTGTTGCTTTATTATTTCCAGTGCTTCCTTGATCTTCCTTGTTTCTAAGTGGTATTTCTTGATTAGGTATTCTTTGGTCTTCTTGTTCTTCAGCTTCTTTTCTTTCATCTGTTCTAGCTTGCTTGCATGTGATCTTAACTTGCTGATCTTATTTTCTAGTCTAACCTTCCATTTTTGTGGTGCACTGTTTGTTTGTTTTTCTTCTTTGTTGATTTTGCATCCCAGGTATTCAGTTATAACTGCAGCTGTGCTGTACATTAGTTGGTTTGTTTCTTGCAGTGAATTGGTGCTTATACTTGCTATTGCAGTATTTGCATCTTTTAATGCTTGTGCTAGCTGTTTCTTTGGAACAAGCTTCAATGCAGGCAGCCTTATTCTGTTGTTTTTGTGCTGTTCTAGATGCTCAGTTATTCTTTGTTTCAATTCTTTTATTTCTTTAGTTAGAGGGTTTTGTTCTTCCTGAGGAAGTGGTGCCTGGTTTCCAAATGAGAACAGTTGTATATCTCTGCTGGATTCCTTCACTGCCAACTCCCCCTGGTTTGCCTCTACATTCTGAATTACTTCTGCTAAGGCTTTGATTTCTTTGCCTGGGTAAACCTTTGCAGTTTGTCCAATTCTGTTTCTGTGAATACTTTATTTCGTATTATAAATCGGCGTTGATCTGCTAGTCTCTGTTCTGTTATTTCTGATTCTGGATGTTGTTCTTTCCAGAACTGGTGCATTTGTTTTAGATATCTTCTTCTTGTGGGACTTGATCTGTAGTAACAGATCATTATTTCTTTGTTTTTAATCATTGTGTATCTGCGACGGGTAGACACCTTTTCTTGCAGTAGTTCTGCAGCTGCTGGCCCTGGTTGCTCAGCCAACAGTCCTGAGTCCTGTAACCCATTTTTCACCAGATATCCAGGAACTCCAATATCTAGCGCGGACCTTGTTAACCCGGGTGACATCTGAGCCGGTATGGCATTGTGAAATTTACGTCTCACCATATTTTTATGTGAGAGACACTCTTTGTCTGACTCCTCTGATGAGACCTTTCCAGTATGGTTGAACCTCTGGTATAGCTGTTATCTTCCTCAGAGTACACAAGCCCCACAACCACATCAAGGTAGTGCTCACTGGGGGTTGTTATTATTATTATTATTATTATTATTATTATTATTATTATTATTATTATGGATCATCGCACAGTCAGCCAGATGTTCAGACTGGATTTGGCATTTTGTCTACCTATCGAGTCCTTACCCAGGACCTGGGATAGGCAGATGTGGATGTTTGATGGTATTACAGATATCGTTACAGGATGGAAGCAGTTCCTAGTAAGGCCACCTTTTGCAATTGACTGATAGCAAATTTGTCAATGCCAATGGCGTTCAAGTGGTGCTCCAGTTGTTTTGGGATTGCACCCAAGGAGCCTATTACTATTGGTATTACCCTTGCTTGCTTTTGCCACAGTCTTTCTATTTCTATTTGTAGGTCTTTGTATTTTGTTATCTTCTCCAGTTCTTTCTCGTCTATTCTGCTGTCTCCAGGCACTGCCACGTCCACTATCCAGACTTTTTTGTCTTTCTTATCGACAATTGTTAAGTCTGGGGTGTTATGTTGCAGGTGCTTGTCTGTTTGAATTCTGAAGTCCCAGAGCAGTTTAATTTTATCATTTTCTATGACTTTCTCTATTTTATGATCCCACCAGTTTTTGCTTACAGGCAAATGATATTTTTTGCAGATCTTCCAATGCACCATTGTTGCTACTTTGTCATGCCGCTGCTTGTAGTTAGTCTGTGCAATCTTCTTGCAACAGCTTACCAGGTGGTCCACTGTTTCTTCAGCTTCTTTGCATAGGCGGCACTTACTGTCTGTTGCTGTCTTCTCAATTTTGACTTTATATGCATTTGTCCTTAAGGCTTGGTCTTGTGCAGCCAGAATTAGTCCCTCGGTCTCTTTCTTCAATTTTCCTGCTCTTAGCCATTGCCAGGTCTTGTTATTATCTGCTTTCCCAGCTATTTTTTTCATGTATTGGCCATGTAGTGCTTTGTCTTCCCATGCCTCTATTCTGTTCTTCATTTGGTCTTTCTTGTAGGCCAGTTTGGTCTCTCCAGTAGTCAGTAAGCCTTCCTGATATACTAATTTCAGTGCATCTTCATCATTGTTCTTCAGATATTCTTCCAAAGCCATTTTTTCTTCTTCACCATCTGATGTACTTGTAGCATTCCACGCCCACCTATTTGCCTTGGTAGATAAAGTCTATCAATGTCACTGCGTGGATGAAGGGCATGATTCATTGTCATTATTTTTCTGGTCTGCCTATCCATTGCTTTTAGTTCTGCTTGAGTCCAGTCCACTATTCCAGCTGTGTACCTAATGACTGGGATTGCCCAGGTGTTGATTGCCTTTATGGTATTTCCTCCATTGAGTTTGGACTTTAAGATCTTCTTCACTCTCTTGATGTATTCACCTCTAATCTTTTTCTTGACTTCAGTGTGCTTGATGTTGTCAGCTTGAAGGATACCCAAGTATTTGTAGTATCTTCCTCATCCAGACTCTTAATGTTATTTTCGTGGGGCATCTTGATTCCTTCAGTTTTCACTATTTTTCCTTGTTTGATAGTAAGTGTGGCACATTTGTCCAAGCCAAACTCCATTACAATATCTTGGCTATATATACGGACAGTGTTGAGCAGCGATTCTATTTCAGATGATGTTTTTCCATACAGCTTCAGATCATCCATGTAAAGGAGGTGGGATAGTCTGGCAGATGTTTTTGATGTTTGATAGCCATGTCCTGAGTTATTCAGTATTGTTGACAGAGGAAACAGTGCAATAACAAATAGTAATGGTGATAATGAATCTCCTTGAAATATTCCTCTCTTGATATTAACCTCTCCCAGTCTCTCACCATTGATCTGCAACTGTGTCTTCCATTGTGCCATCGATCTTTGCACAAATTTTCTGATGTTTCTACTGACTCCTGTTATTTCTAGGCACTTGATTATCCAGTCATGTGGCAGAGAGTCAAATGCCTTTTTGTAGTCAATCCATGCCACATTCAGGTTGGTCTTCCTTCTCTTGCAGTTTTCCAAGATCATTTTGTCTATTAGGAGTTGATCTTTTGTTCCTCTGCTATTGGGGCGGTTTCCTTTCTGCTCAGGTGGAAAGAGATTGTTTTCAACTAGATGCTGTTGTACTGCATCAGCTACCACACCAGTTAGTAATTTGAAAGTTGTTGGTAAGCAGGTAATTGGCCTGTAGTTACCTGGTGTTGCCCCTTTTGCTGGATTTTTCATTATTAGGTAGGTTTTCCCAGTTGTTAGCCACTTTTCAATTTCTCCTCCTTGTAGTATATTGTTGAACTGCTTGGCAATGAGTGGGTGTATAACAGTTAGATGTTTCAACCAAAACCCATGCAGTTCATCTTCACCTGGTGCTGACCAATTTTTGATTTTCTTTGCTCTTTTTTCTACCATTTTTGTTGTTATTACTAGTTCTTTCATTTCAACTTCTGTTTTATTTGCATCCACCTCTTTTAACCAAGCCGCATCCTTGTTGTATTTCTTTGGGTTATCCCATATCTGCTTCCAGAACTGCACTGTTTCTTCCTTGTCAGGTACTGACTGATTCCTTGCAGTTTCTCCATTGATGGATTGGTAGAAACGTTTCTGATTGGATTGAAATTGGAGGTTCTGCCTATAGTTTGCAATTCGAGCTTCATATCTACTGATTTTCCTGGCTATAGCTGTTATTTGTTGCTTTATTATTTCCAGTGCTTCCTTGATCTTTGTCAGAATCCAATTATATTTCATCTTTAATTATCAAACATAGAAACTCCCAATTCTGCCTTCTCTGGATTCTGCCATAAGAGGGAGAGAAGGGGGAGAACAAAGGGGCTTTATGGCCCTCACTTCCTTCAGTACACTTCAAAGAGCTGAATGCTGAATGTGTGTTTATTGTAACCTCAAAGCGTTAGCACCAAAGAACCTTATCATAACAAAGAAGGTAATTGCCTTTCATGTAGTTATCTGAAGTCTCCATCCAGACGGAAGAAAGAAGAAAGGGGGTGGAATTGTGATACTTGAAACTATCACTGGAAGGGGGGTTGATTGGGTGGGACTACTGGGGAACCCCTTAAAACCTTGAATGGGAGAGCTTGAACCCCAAGTCCTGTCTAGCATGCCTGCAACCATTTTCTCTTAATAAAGGATTCCTGTTGGAAGAATTATTCCAAGAGTTCTGTCTTCTTAAGATGCAAAGTGGGGTGGGTCGTTACAATCTTCCTTGTTTCTAAGTGGTATTTCTTGATTAGGTATTCTTTGGTCTTCTTGTTCTTCACCTTCTTTTCTTTCATCTGTTCTAGTTTGCTTGCATGCGATCTTAACTTGCTGGTCTTATTTTCTAGTCTAACCTTCCATTTTTGTGGTGCACTGTTTGTTTGTTTTTCTTCTTTGTTGATTTTGCATCCCAGGTATTCTGTTATAACTGCAGCTGTGCTGTACATTAGTTGGTTTGTTTCTTGCTGTGAAATAATAATAATAATAATAATAATAATAATAATAATAATAATAATAATAATGATAATAATTATTATTATTATTACATTTCTAATTGTAGAGAAGTCTCTCTCTCTCTCTCTCTCTCTCTCTCTCTCTCTCTCTCTCTCTCTCTCTCTCCTCACTTTATTTTCTTTTATCAGATTTTCTCATTTCCCCCCACCACCACACTTCAATTGGAAAAGCAGCCCTATTCTGAGGTTGAAAAGATTTGTGGAACTGCTGTGAAGAATGGCTGGTTTTTGCCAAGCTTCAGATTCACTTCCTCTCACTGTGTCTCTTGCACAGTAATAGATGGCCGTGTCTTCAGCTGTGAGGCTGTTCATTTGCAGATACAGCTGGCTTTTGGCATTGTCCCTGGAGATGGTGAAGCGTCCCTTCACTTTGTCTGAGTAGTAAATAGTAGACGAACCAGAGCTTATATATGCCACCCATTCCAGTCCTTTCTCTGGAGCCTGTCTCACCCAGCTCATAGCATAGCTGCTGAAGGTGAATCCAGAGGCTTGGCAGGTGAGATGGAGGGACCCTCCAGGTCTTCTCACGTCCCCTCCAGACTCCACCAACTGGACCTCAGATTTGACACCTAAAATTGAAGGAGTTTCAGTGAGCTCTCCTTTATACAAGAATTAAAATGAAAAGAAACTGAATAGGTAAGAAAGAATTACCTCTGAGGATTGCTAGGAAGGACACCAAATTTAACCACAGGATCATTTTTGTGTTTTGTTCTCTCTACTGAATGGAGGGAATTGATAGGAAGGGATCCGGGAAAGTGCTCAAGCTTTATGTTGGTGGGTGTAATCTGAAAAGGCATATCATGGGGCTCTTTTAAAAGGGAAAATATGTCCTGATTTGCATATTGCTTGGGATAAAAGAGCCTCTTACTGCATTCATTTAAAGACATATTTGCTTACACCTTACAAATGTGATTTTGAGGGGTCCTTGGTGCTCTCTATTTTTTTTTTTGCAGAGTTTGCATTACAATGAAATATTTGCAAGAAAACCAAGTTCTGAGAGCACCAAGGACCCCTCATTTTTACCCTGAGCTACAAATACTTCCCATTATTGGTAACATGATTATTTTACTTCTTAGTTAATAGGACAGGTTTACTTTGCAGTAAGTAAGACAAAGGTTTGAAAAAATAACAGCACTTCTGGGAAGCAATTCAAGGTAACAGAGAATCTACTTGCTTTAAAATCTTGTTAATGGAAACATGTTACTTGACAAAATATAAAAAAGATTAACAAATCTGAGTTAGGAAGTTTGCTACTTGATTTCTTCCTTAACTTTTTGGTTTGTTTGTTTGTTTTTTGATTTCATTACTGGATAGTAGCTAATATGCTGAACAGTCACTAATCCTCGAAGAATGATTTGTCATCCACAGTATTTGGGTCCACCCAAGCACAAAGTCAAACCCAAGTCATATTATGAACATTCTCTCAGTTCAAAGAGAACGATAAATAATTCTCTTTATCTTATCCAAAATATGTGCTTTTTTGTTATTTGTTTTAAAATCAGACCTGGCTTCCCAGTGAGATTTTTCATCTTTCAAAAAGTTAAATTCCTTTGAGATCCATTGAGGCAACTTCTAAGCAAATGACAGAACATAGAACATTGAATAATAGAATTGGTAGGGATGTCCCTGCTCAAACAGGAGACCCTATACCATTTCAGACAAATGTTGTCCAGTCTCTTTTTTAAAGTGTCCAGTGATGAAACACCCACAACTTCTGAAGGTAAGCTATGCCATTGGCTGATTGCTCTCCTTGTTAGAAAATGTCTCCTTAATTATAGGTTGCTTCTCTCCTTGGTTAGTTTTCATCCATTGTTTCTTCTCTTGCCTTTTGGTGCTTGGGAAAATAGTTTGACCTGCTCATCTCTGTTGGAGTCCCTCAAATATTGGAGGGAAAGAAAGGAGCAGACCCTCATTTTCCAGATTCTATCTCCTTCCTTGGTTTCATACCAGACCAAAAAATTAGGTGTTTTAGACCATCCTTATTTTATTACATTATATTTCTACTGATGGAGTAGCATATAATACAGATCAGCTCTTCCTTGGAACAATGCTATCATGTCACCTCTAGTCAGTGGTGGGATTCAAATGTGTGAACAACCAGTTCTTTGTGTGGATGCTCTTCCAGAAGTCCATTCTTGGCCTGGGCAACAAAAAATTAGCTACTGGTTCTGCTGAAGTGGTGCGAACCGGCTGAATCCTACCACTGCCTCTAGTCCTTCTTTTCATTATACTAGACATACCCAATTCCTGTAACCATTCTTCATATGTTTTACCCTCCAGCCCTCTGATCAGATATAATCAGCCTTAGAAATGAGGCCATTTTTCTGAAGATCTGAATTCTTCCTTTATGGTGAATATGATTGAGTTTACACAATGCTAATCCTGGTGTGAGTGATGTGGAAGAGAGGGAGATGAGAACAGAAGCTGATTACAAATGAAGGATCTCTTAGACCAGGGTGTCAAACTGCCGGTGCATGGGCCAGACACATCATCCAGAAGCTCCGCCCACCCCATTGCCAGCAATGGCAAAAACGTCCTGATATGTTGCACGATGTCACGTGATGTCATGAGTTTGACATGTCTGTCTCAGACACTTGCACATTTCTGTAAATGTATATTCCACTCATGTTTGTGAGAATGCACAAAACCTATAATTTCTTAATAGCTAAATATATGATAAACTGATTTACAATAGAGAAAATAACAGAAGGAATTGTGCATGTTCGTTTTCTAATCTTGAAACATGAATAGACAATCATCCATCAAAAATTATTTAATATCTACATTAGAGAAAGAAGAGGATGACTTGTTTATTTATTTATTTGTTTGTTTAAAAGACTGTTTCTTTAAAAAAATAATTAAAAAGTATTTGTGTCCATGTGTGAATGCTTTTTTATCATCTGGTGATAAAACCAGTTTTCATGTGATATAGATTAAGCACCAGAGGCAGGAAAAGAAGCAACGGATGGAACCTAATCAAGGAGAGAACCAAACTAGAACTAAGGAGAAACTAAGAAGAGTTAGAACAATTAATCAGTGGAACAGCTTCCCTCCAGAAGTTGTGAGTACTCCATTACTGGAGTTTTTTAAAGAAGAGACTGGACAGCCATTTGTCTGAAATGGTATAGGGTTTCCTGCTTGAGCAGGGGGTTGGACTAGAAGATCTCCAAAGTCCCTTTCAACTCTATTATTCTGTTAATCACAGAGCAAAATCTACAGCTCTACAAGATGAGACAATAGGATTTATTTTATTCTTTTTTTCTTTTAATTTCCAGAAGTTGCGGGATTTCAATGTAGCAAAATTACTGTGGAGGATATCATGTCAACAAATGTAAGAAATGAATCCATATTTCTTCCTCTCTAGGAAAATAAACAGTTTTGTTTACACTTCTCATTTTATTCTGCAGCCATGGAAAATTCCTTCCACAGCAACTACAGAGAAGGTTCCATGCAGTTTATTTCAAGATTAGCTCATTGAACTTATTCCAAGATCCCACTTATTACAATACAGATTGATAAGGCCCTTCTTTGTTCTCATGTGTAAATTCAAACTTCTATGACCGAAACAAATTGCAACACTGCTCAGAGACAGAGAAAGTTCTTTTTTTGTTTTTTTTTTAAACCAACAAAACAAAACAAAACATAACACACATACACACACAGTGTATACTCCTCCCTTTTTTTAATAGCGATTTCATAACGGTAATCTATTATTTACATTCCCCCCTTATTCTTCTTTAGAATATTTGTCCTTGTTGCCCCATTGTTTCATTATTTGCATTTTTCTTCCTTCATACTATACTTCATACTAAGAATAATGCATATTATTATTACTATACATTATTATACACACATTTTCCACTTTTGACCTTTCCACGTTTATTCTCCTCTATTATTTCTAGTCTCCAACCAGTCATACCACTTATTCCATATTAGATAGTACTCTGTGTCTTCCTTTTCTTTTATCTCTTTTGTTAATTTGTCCATCTCAGCACAGTCCAGGATTTTTCTTATCACTTCTTCCAAGAGACAGAGAAAGTTCTTGATGGGCTTCAGATTCACTTCCTCTCACTGTGTCTCTCACACAGTAATAGACGGCTGTGTCCTCTGGTTTCAGATTGCTCATCTGCAAATAAAGCTGGCTGCGGGAATCATCCCTGGAGATGGTGAAGCATCCCTTGACTTTGTCTGAGTAGCGAATTGGAGATGAGGATCTACCAATATCTGCAACCCATTCCAGTCCTTTTCCTGGATACTGTCTTGTCCAGCCCATGTAATAGCTGCTGAAGGTGAATCCAGAAGCTTGGCAGGAGAGACGGAGGGACCCTCCAGGGCTTCTCACATCCCCTCCAGACTCCACCAACTGGACCTGAGATTTGACACCTAAAAAGAAAGATGTTTCAGTGATATCTCTTACATACAAGAACAGCAAATACTACAGAGAGGGCTGCAACAGAAACGTTACCTCCAAGGGCAGCTAGTAAACACATAAATTTTATCCAGAGAATCATGTTTGTTCCCTTGGATGAATGGAAGAGAATTGATAGGAGATGACTTGGCAAAGTGCACAAAATTTGTGGTGAGGTATGTGTAGCCTGAAAAGGAAATCCAACTGTCTTCTTTAAAGGGGAAACTGTCCCTCAATTTACATATTGATTGACATAAATGACCTCCCTAGTGCAGTCACCACGTTTTCCTTGCACGTTCCCTACACAGGGGAATTTTGAAATAACTTTCCAATTCTTTCAAAAGTGAAGCAGACTTTAAATTAGAGCAATTAAAAGAAAGACATTGCAGAATGTCACCACTTCTCAAAAAGGGATTCAAGGTAAGAGTTTTGAAAGGACATGTTAGAGACAGAAGCAGACTTTGTAACTTTATTTTCCTTCTCATATACCCTTTCGAAGACACTGAAAGGAGTTGAAGGCAGGCCAAGACCATTTTCTTCTTGGGTGCTATTTTGCAGGTCATTTTTATCCAGTATTTGTCCAGTGTTGATTTGCCAAGATGGGCAGCCATACAAATTGAAATAATAATAACTGTGATGCTAATACCAATGTTAATTAAAAATGTCACTGAATATAGTCCCTGGTGTTTGCGTAGGCCTCATAAACCACTTCATATTCTCTAAAGAATTCAGTTTACTCTATATTTATCAAAATACATCTGCTGTCACCTCAGACATGACTCTAGGGTGAGGCCACAAAGATGTTTTTGGAAAAAAGTACCTTTAGGACAACCATGGCTTGGATGATTGAGAATCTCCATTGATCTTCATAGTGAGGAATAGGTAGAGATGATAGCTAGATAGCTAGTTAGCTAGATAGCTAGTTAGCTAGATAGCTAGTTAGCTAGATAGCTAGCCAGCCAGACAGCCAGACAGCTAGATAGATAGATAATGGACGGATAGAGATATAGCTATTAAGTTAGACAGACAGACAGATAGATGATAGATAGCTAGATAGATGATAGCTAGATAGCTAGTTAGCTAGCTAACTAGCTAGATAGCTAGATAGCTAGACAAACAGACAGATGATAGCTAGCTAGCTAGATGATAGATAGATAAATGATAGATAGATAGATAGATAGATAGATAGATAGATAGATAGATAGATAGATAGATAGATAGATATTTAATGACACTAGTTTTATTTCCAACCCCAAACCCATCAGGCGCAGAGGCCATGGGATTTCATGTGACATTGCCCTGCACAAAAGAGTGGGTACAGGGCCTATTTTAATTTTCCAAGGAGATTCTTTTGGTCAAAATGTTTCCTCAATGTGTTAATGTGAGTATGGATATTGAGAAAGATTATCCTGAAGTTTCATTTCCTGACTTCTTCCACGATACCAAAGGACAATATTCCATTCCAGGTTTTTATTTTTATTTTTCCAGAAATCAGACTACCTTGCCGACAATGAAGGTGAAATTGGAATTTTCAAGCCATTTTCACAATTTCTGCAAACAAACTCTCTAATTGGTTACCTAGAAAAAGAGTCTTAAAGGTCTCCCTAGATGGTGATGAATCCTCATCGGCTGATCCAGGGTCTGGAGCTGACTTAAGTTGCAGAGCTGCTCTGAAGAAAGGAAAGAGGAAATTGTGGTCCCTTGAGAAATAACATTCCCTTGAGACCAGTTTGGTGAATTTCTAAGCATATCGGTTGGAAAAGCTCCGCCTTGGAAATATTGTTTGTATGCAGTGGTTTAATTTCCGTACCCTCCCGTGCCCCAGCAGCTGTGTGAGAATAGCGCCCCCTGGTGTTCAACATGACCAAGAGAGGCATGCACTACATTGTAAGAATTCTAAGAATTTTAAAGAAATTCTCAGAGGTGCTATGTGGAATGGGAAGTTTTTGCTTTGCTTCAAATTTACTTCCTTCTAACTGTGTATCTAACACAGTAATAGATGGCCGTGTCCTCTGGTTTGAGGCTGTACATTTGCAGATACAGCTGGCTTTTGGAATTGTCCCTGGAAGTAGTAAAGCATCCCTTCATTTTTCAGAGTAGTAAGTGCTGTATATATCTTTCCTGGAAACCCATTCCAATCCTTTCCCAGGAGTCTGTCTCACCCAGAACATGTTGAAGACACCAAAGTTGAATCCAGAGGCTTGGCAGGAGTGGCTGATGGAGTCTCCAGATCTTCTCCTGTCCCCTTCAGACTCTAGTAGCTTGACTGCAGATTGGACATCTAAAATGATAGGAGTTTCAGCGAGTTGAGCTGTATACAAGGATTAAAATGGAATGGTGTTGAATAAAGAGGATATAATTACCTGTGAGGATTGGTAGTAGGAACAGGTTTAGCCACAGGATCATTTTTGCTCTCTCTGACTAATGGATAGGAGCAGATAGGAAAGATCTGGAGAAGTGCACAATTTGTTTCTTGGTGGGTGCAGCCCCAAAAGGGAAACCATGGGGCTCCTTTAAAGAGTTAATTGTAACTAGATTTACATATATGTTTGGATAAAAGAACCCTCAATACATTCGCTTAGAGATTTCTCTGCACAGACCTTACACATGTGATTATCAAGTAAAGTTCCAGTCCTAACACAGGTGATGTCTTGCATACTTTATTTTTCTTTCCCTGTGATAACATAGTAGAAACCAAAGGCTTATAATAAAAGTATGGACAGTAAAAAAAAAAGATTTGAAAAACTTTGAAAAAAATATTTGAACAACCACTTCTGAACTCAGATACAGCTTTATGGAGCAGGCGATAGTCTCTTGAAAAGTGATATTGTCTTGAGGTATATTTGGTGATATTTTAAGCATCCCAGATCAAAAAAAAGTCTACTTTGGAAATGAGATACTATTTGTACACAATAGTTTTATTTCCATGCCTTGCTCCACCCTTGCAGTGGTGTGAGATTAGTGCTCAATGTAGTACAAGATGGCCAAAGGAGGCATGCAGCATATTCTAAGGTTTCAAAAAAAAAATAATAATAAATTGCAAAGCTTCTTTGTGAAATGGGCAGTTTTTGCTTTGCTTCAGATTCATTTTCAATCTGTTTTTTGTCCTCAGATTTATTTTGTAGTTGTTTTTTCCATTTCTTGTAATTTTCTCCCCACTAGGATTAAATCATGTTTTCTTGTTTTGTTAAGTTCTGTCTTTGAGTCTCTATTTTCAATTTTATGTCCATTTATTTGTTTTGTCTGCTCCTTCTCTGTTGTTATTTCCTGGAAGTTTTTTGTTGTTGTAGAGTTAACTTAGAAATAGATTGATATATATTTTCAAAGTTATTTTGGATTTCTTTGTGATTTGAACTCAGTGTTATTTGAGTTAATTGCAGTATTCTATATATTTCCTCCTGAGAGGTATTTATGTTTTCTTTGTGTGTTCTATCTACATATCTCTGATCCATGATGGCCAAAAGTTGAAGTTTTCCTTCTTTTCTACAAATAGCTTTAGAGCTCCGGTTAAATAGATATTTGTAATCCAAAGAGTTCAAAAAAGATTTTTTTCTAAAGAAAAGGGCACCTTTTTTCATGTATGGTGGACATGTAGAGAAGCACAGGTGTACTGGCGTATGGTCTGGGAATGGGCAATAGAAATGACTAGGCAAAACATTCTATACAAACCTGAGGCATTACTATTAGGAATACTAGAGAAAAATGTAAATAAAGAGGACACATATTTAATTATTCACGTGGTTACGGCGGCAAGGATACTATTTGCTCAAAAATGGAAAGCAATGGAAGTACCGAGTGAGGAAGTACTAATAAAGAAAATTATATATTGCGCAGAACTAGATAGGATAACTAAAAGATTAAAAAATCAGGAAGAAACATAATTTTATCGAATATGGAATACATTTTATAGATGGAGGGAAAAAAATGGAGGTCACAAATAAAGAGATGAGTTAAGATAGAGACCAGAAATGTATAGTTTGTATATAGATATATTATATGTAAATAATGTACAATATGGACTGAGATGTCAGTCAAAGATGATTTACCATGTTCAATGTTTTTAATCCTTTTTTTTCTTTGTACTCAATAAAAACTTTATTTAAAAAAAAGATTTTTTTTCTAAAGTTTATAATTCTTTCTTTGTCTGCAGCCCAGATTTTTTTTTGTGTTTTTTTTGTCACAGCTGTTCTTTGTTATTAAAGCTTTGAAGGTCACAAATAAGCTTTTCCCAGGTTTTGGCAAGTTCTCTATGGAAATCATAACTGTCAAAATCTTCATCCATCACTAGGTGTGAGCATCTATTTAGTTTTCAATATGAACAATGGTCTTTAAAATGAGAGTCTTAACCATTCAACAATTTTTAAACTTGTCCCAAATTAAATTTTAGCTTTCAAGTTGATAAATATATTTCACTACCATATATTTTGATCCTCCATGGAAATTTTAATTTGCCGCTTCCGTTTGTATAAGGGTGGGGCAAAAAAAAAAAAAAGAAGAAAAGAAAGAAAGAAAATAAAAACTCAACCAAAATATTAAATTTCTATAGCCTTTATACTATTGATTTTAATCTTCATTTATGTGATTGACTTATGCAGCTGCCCATCTCACTTTTACATGACTGAATAAAATAATAAAGAATGCTAATTAAGGAATACATTTTTTTTATCTCTAAAGATTTTTTGAGAGTAGAACTTTTCCCCATTGCTGTCACTTAGATCTCTCTCTCTCTCTCCCTCCTTAGTTTATGTTAGGTTTTTGCTTTGTTTCAGATTCACTTCCTCTCACTGTGTCTCTTGTGCAGTAATAGACTGCCGTGTCTTCAGGTTTGAGATTGTTCACTTGCAGATACAGCTGGCTTTTGGCATTATCCCTGAAGACGGTGAAGCGTCCCTTCACTTTGTCTGAGTAATAAATACTAGACGAACCGGAGTTTATGTATACCACCCATTCCAGTCCTTTTCCTGGAGCCTGTCTCACCCAGCTCATAGCAAAGCTGCTGAAGGTGAATCCAGAGGCTTGGCAGGAGAGATGGAGGGACCCCCCAGGTCTTTTCACATCCCCTCCAGACTCCACCAACAGGACCTCAGATTTGACACCTAAAATGGAAGGAGTTTCAGTGAGCTCTCCTGTATATAAGAATCAAAATGAAAAGAATCTGAATAGTTAGGGAAGAATTACCTCTGAGGACCACTAGAAAGGACACCAAATTTAGCCACAGGAACATTTTTGCCCCCTCTAATGAATGGAGGGGGCAAAGGATCTAGGAAAGTGCTCAAACTTTGTGTTAGTGGGCGTAACCTGAAAAGGGATGTCATGGGGCTCTTTTAAAGGGGAAATTGTGCCTCAATTTACATATCAGTTGAGATAAAAGAACCCTTCAGAGTGTTCCGTTATAGATTTCTTTGCACAGACTTTACACTTGTGATTTTCATAAAATGTTAAATAATAAGCTGCGTCCTCTGGTTTCAAGATGTTCATTTCCTACCAGAATTATTTTTTGGAGATGGTGATGTATCCTTTCCCTTTATCCATGTAGTAAAATCTTAACCTTATAAACTAAAGCTTAAGTTTGCCAAGATTCTGTCTATTAGGTGGGAGCAAATGAAGAATTGGACTTGAGTAGAACTCACGTTCTTATCTCCAGGCTTGGACCTAGCATTATCAGCTAAGACTCCCTAGCCAAAGGTAGCCCATCTTGCTAGATCAGATGGGATGGGTATAGAAACAACTTGGGAGAGATGGTCCCATCAGTACTCCAACTTTCAGCCATGAATGGCTTCAACGGTGAAAGCCAGAAATTTCACTGAGGAGATTTCCAATTTTTGTTTTGAAGAAACCGATATTAAAGCCATACAAACTAAAGCATAAATCACATTTTGTAAAGCAGAGAAATGACTTTCAGAGCTGTTCCGATGAATGGTAGGTTTTTTTTGCCAAGCTTCGGAATCACTGCGTATCCTGTACAATAACAGATTGTCATGTCTTCAGCTTTGAGGCTGTTCATCTGCAGATACAGCTGACTTTTGGCATTGTCCCTGGAGATGGTGAAGCAGCCCTTCACTTTGTCTGAGTAGTAAATACCAGAGGAACCGGAGCTTATGTATGCCACCCATTCCAGTCCTTTCCCTGGAGCCTGTCTCATCCAGTTCATTGAAGAGCCACTAAAGCTGATGCCCGAAGCTTGGCAGGAGAGATGGAGGGATCCTCCAGATCTTCTCACATCCCCTCCAGACTTCACCAACTGTGCCTGCGATTGGACAGCTAAAGTAAAAGGAATTCCAGTGAGCATTTTTGTATACAAGAATTAAAAGGAAAATAAATGGGAATAGGCAGAAAAGAAATACCTCTGAGGACTGCTAGAAAGGACACCAAATTTACCCACAGGATCATTTTTGCTCCCCCCTAATGAATGGAGGGCATTGATAGGAAAGGAAAGTGCTCAAGTTTTGTGTTGGTGGGTATAACCTGATAAGGGATCATGAGGCTTCATAATAATAATAATAATAATAATAATAATAATAATAATAATAATAATAATAATAATAATAACAACAACAACAACAACAATAAAGTTGGAAGGGACCTTGGAGGTCATCTAGTCCAACCCCCTGCTCAGGCAGGAAACCCTATACCATTTCAGACAAATGGCTGTCCAGTCTCTTCTTAAAAACTTCCAGTGTTGGAGCATTCATCACTTCTGAAGGCAGGTTGTTCCACTGGTTAATTGTTCTAACTGTCAGGAAGTTTCTCCTTAGTTCTAGGTTGCTTCTCTCCTTGATTAGTTTCCACCCGTTGCTTCTTGTCCTGCCTTCAGGCGCTTTGGAAAATAGCTTGACTCCCTCTTCTCTGTGGCAGCCCCTGAGATACTGGAACACTGCTATCATGTCCCCCCTCATCCTTCTCTTCATTAAACTAGACATACCCAATTCCAGCAGCCTTTCCTTATATGCTTTAGCCTCCTGTCCCCTGATCATCTTTGTTGCTCTTCTCTGTACTCTTTCTAGAGTCTCAACATCTTTTTTACATCGTGGTGACCAAAACTGGATGCAGTATTCCAAGTGTGGCCTTACCAAGGCATTGTAAATTGGTTTTAAGGGAAATTGTTCCTCAATTTACATATCTCTTGGGATAAAAGAACCTAGCAGATCATTTGGTTACAGATTACTTTGCACACACTTTATACTGTACATTGTGAAATTATTTGCTATGTCCTCTGATTTCAAAGAGTTCACTTGCTAGTAAAATTGTTTTTTGGAGATGGTGAAGCATCTCCAAATTATAAAAGTGTTTCTAGAATGAACACTCAAAGCTAACATGTGCAGATGCATTCATACAGAAGCATGTATGAGCCATATAATAACAGTGTGGAAGGCCATAGGATAAGCTATCATGGTTTGTTAAAGCAAACAGAATTAATTTGATGCAGGGTCAGCAGGAAAGATTTCTAGAGAACAAAGTTTCATGTCGTAACCAAAAAAAATCACTTTCAGGAAATAATTTCAGAATGGAACACTTTATTTGGGAGACTTGAATATGTCACCTTCTGGCCTTCTCCCCAAAATAACAGTGACTTCATCCATGGTTTTGAGGAGAGAACAGTCACTTCTTGAGGAGTTAGTCTTGACATGAGACCATTTCTACCAATTTTCAAGCCAAAAAAATTGAAACCTCACCAGGAAATTCTGGCTTTATTTCCCTTCCCCTCCCCCCATGATCAATCCAATTCTGTGGAACAATATTGTCCTCTGGTGTGCATGATAAGCAAAAGCAGGGCGATGCTTGCATTGAAAGATAGGAATTAAGTCTTGGAAGGCATAGTTGAACTCCTGAAGATGAAATCATGTTGACTGAGAAAGCAAAGCTGTTGTCACCAGACAACACCAGAAATTGGCTTGGGAAGGTTACTGTTCTGGAGAATTTGGAGACCTCATAGGATTATGTTTCAAGGAATTATTGCAACAAATAGATTGAATGATATAGTCTAATCTGTAGTAGTGCATATATATTTACAGAAGGGAAATTGGATCCACTATAACAGAGGCCATGATTTTGTGTGCTTGTTTGTGAGGACCGGTTGCTGGCATGCCGTGGCCCAGTGCTGGTCCAGGAACTGGGGTTGAGGACCTCTGCATTATGAGGGGTAAAAAAAGTAAATGGAAAAACTGAGTAAGTACCTCAGTAGAATTTGATGGAAAAGTTAAAAAAAAAAAAGTTCCTGAAGTGACAGGAGGAAGTAGAATCCTAAGATTAAAAAAATAATAATAATACACTGAGTCCAAAGAAAATGTACATAGTGACATGAGGGAGGAAGATTCAGGAATGAGTGAACGGAGTAAATATCAACCTCTACTGAAAGTGAAATTGAGGGACTCATTAGATGGGTATAAAAAGAAGAAATTTGGACTGCAAGATGAAGACGTGAAGGAAGAATCCTAATGAATAAATCTGCATTTTTCTGCAAATTTGCAGAACTGCTGGGTGAAATGGGCAGTTTTTGCTTTGCTACAGATTTACTTCCTCTTATTGTGTCTCTCGCACAGTAATAGATTGCCGTGTCTTCAGCTTTGAGGCTGCTCATTTGAAGATACAGCTGGCTTTTGGCATTGTCTCTGGAGATGGTGAAGCGTCCCTTCACTTTGTCAGAGTAGTAGATTTCTCCTGCATCGTATTTTATTGTTGCAATCCATTCCAGTGCCTTTCCTGGAGCTTGTCTCACCCAGCTCATCCAGAAGTTGCTGAAGGTGAATCCAGATCCTTGGCAGGAGAGACGGAGGGTCTCTCCAGGTCTTCTCACATCCCCTCCAGACTCCACTAACTGAACCTCAGATTGGACACCTAGAAAGAAAGGTTGGTTAATAAGACCTCCTGCAGGAAAACACAAGAAACTGGGGAATAATCCCTCTCTTTGGAGAGGAAAATAATAATACCTCTGAGGACAACTAACAAGGACATGAAGTTTAGCCAGAGTGGCATTTTGCTTGTCAAAATATCAGATGATTGTTACTGATGGGAAAACATCCAACTAAGCACTCAACCTTTGTGTCTTTGGGTGTTACAGGAGAACAGGAAGATATAGTTCCTTGAACAGGAAGTTGTCACTGAATTTACATAACCCTCAGGATAAAAAAAGCCTTTCCAGAGTTCCTGGGACTTTCTTTTTGCACATGGTTTTCAAATGCTGGGTAAAAAAAAAAACCCTAAGAAAAATGTGAAGCAATAGATTGGTTTTGGAAGACGTAAAACCACATCTTGAACATTCAAGGTGACACATCATACTGCTACTGAATTTACATAGCTTTGGGAATCAAACTGCTAGTCTCTTCTTTGACCTTGTTGATTTAGTGGAGCCTATATTACACAAATGATATTTAGATGATGAATTGTAAAACCATCAAAATAATATCTTTGCTCCATCGGCCCTAAGGAGTCAGCTGGAACCACGGAAGAAGCTGCCGCCCTATACATATACAATCCATCAATCAGTCTATATAACAAAACAAAATAATGCCAGACCTTGAATCATTTCAATCCATTAGGCAAAATTCAAATCTCATCCAAATAGTTATCATGTCTAAAAACACCCATATTATTACACAAGATGGCCAATTTCTTAGCTGCACCAGCCGAAAGTCACAGGTATATCTAAGTGCGAAAGACCCACCATGAATGATCTGGGTGAGACCTCTCCTTCTCCTCTCTTCACCCTATTTTATTTTTTGCCTGTAAAAGTTTAGTTGGAATTAATTTCCTGCCTTGAAAAAGTGGTGTTGGTATGCGTGGGAAGGAAGGCGTCTGAATAAAAGGATAGAACAAAGAGAGAAAAGGAAAAAAAAAAGGTGTCTGGGGAAGATTTTGTAACTTACTGTGGACATCTTGTGGTGAAAAGTTAATATTGCAATTATTTGTTTTTTTCCGGAGATGAGGTGGGCTGGACTTTCAAACTATTCTTGAAGAGTAAAGATAAGCTGAGCCAGCTGTGGGAAATTGTGGGGGTGGATATTGTTTATATATAGCCTCCACTAAAAGATAAAAGGGACTTTCTGCAATTATTATCAAAATGGAGAAACCTCATCTACAACTAAACTGTAAACCTATACTGGAAAAAAATTATGAAGCTACTGAAGAGGTTTGCGCTAAAATGACAAAGATTGTTACAGAAATAAGAACCAGAAGCCTTACTCCAAACCTTTAAACTGATCTCCAGACCTCATCTAACTATGTATAAAATATACTAGAAGAAGAATTAATTGAGATTGAAGGGGAATCTTTTTTTACCTTACAAGCATTTCATCTATATTCTTGAGGATCAGAAGAACCAAAGACTGAGACTGGAACTTTCAAAAGCAACAAGGGTTTAATGACAAAAGAGCTACATGCCCATCACAGAGGACTGGGTGTTTTCTATTGACTCAAATGACATTACAAGTGACAAAGGGAGATCTACTTGCTGAGATAAAAGCTTTGTTATGGAAAATGGTCTGGCACAAAAGGAAAGCCAGAATAAGACTGAAAAGAGAAATTTAAAAGTATTTATAATGGATTAAAAGGCACTGTAGAAATACGGATTGATTTAAGGTTTAAGATTTAGAGTTAGAAGCGAGAGAAAAAGTTGTGATTACCAGAACATATATGTTAAATAGATTAAGAATGTATTTTTGGAATAATAGGTTTATCTGTAGGAAAATTATTTTGTAATGGAATGAATGAAAATGAAAGAGGTTTTACAGTGATTTGGATTGATTTAATAATTAATTGAGTATGTTAAATTAGTAAGATGATGCATTGTGTAATAATATGGGTGTTTTTAGACATGATAACTATTTGGATGAGATTTGAATTTGCCTAATGGATTGAAATGATTCAAGATCTGGCATTATTTTGTTTTGTTATATAAACTGATTGATGGATTGTATATGTATAGGGTAGAGATATATTTTATTTTAACTAGGATAAATATTGAGTAGTGGAAGAAGAAATGAGAGATTTGTGATAAAATAAAGATTTAGGAGATTAAGAAATAAAATACATCTGGAAGGGACATTTGAAGTGATAACATGTTTATTTAAGGTTAAAGTGGACTATGGTAGTTGTAAATTGATAAAGTATAAAAACAGGATTAGGATTTATAGAATTTATGTAGAAATTGATTATTTTAAATATATTATTTGAGGGAAATAAAGAGGGAATATTTAATGTATTTTGTTGTTGTTAATTGCGAAGTCGTGTCCGACCCATCGCGACCCCATGGACAACGCTCTTCCAGGTCTTCCTGTCCTCCACCATCTTCTGGAGTCCATTTAAATTCGCACCTACTGCTTCAGTGACTCCATCCAGCCATCTCATTCTCTGTCGTCCCCTTCTTCTATTGCCCTCAATCTTTCCCAGCATTAGGCTCTTCTCCAGTGAATCCTTCCTTCTCATTAGGTGGCCAAAGTACTTGAGTTTCAACTTCAGGATCTGGCCTTCTAAAGAGCAGTCGGGGTTGATCTCTTCTAGGACTGACCGGTTTGAACGCCTTGCAGTCCAAGGGACTCGCAGGAGTCTTCTCCAGCACCATAGTTCAAAGGCCTCAATTCTTTTGCGCTCAGCCTTTCTTATGGTCCAACTTTCACAGCCATACATTGCAACTGGGAAAACCATGGCCTGGACTATACGCACTTTTGTTGGCAGGGTGATGTCTCTGCTTTTTAGAATGCTGTCTAGATTTGCCATAGCTTTCCTCCCCAGGAGCAAGCGTCTTTTAATTTCTTGGCTGCAGTCCCCATCTGAGGTGATCTTGGAGCCCAGAAAAATAAAATCTGTCACTACCTCCATTTCTTCCCCATCTATTTGCCAGGAATTGAGAGGGCCGGATGCCATGATTTTGGTTTTCTTAATGTTGAGTTTCAAGCCAACTTTTGCACTCTCCTTCTTCACCCGCATCAAGAGGCTCTTTAGTTCCTCTTCACTTTCTGCCATCAGAGTGGTATCATCTGCATATCTTAGGTTGTTGATATTTCTCCCGGCAATCTTAATTCCAACTTTTGATTCATCTAGCCCTGCCTTTCTCATGATGTGCTCTGCATATAAGTTAAATAGGCAGGGCGACAGTATACAGCCTTGCCGGACTCCTTTTCCAATTTTGAACCAATCTGTGGTTCCGTGTTCGGTTCTCACTGTTGCTTCTTGACCCACATATAGGTTTCTAAAGAGACAAATGAGATGGTCTGGTACTCCCATCTCTTTAAGGACTTGCCACAATTTGTTGTGATCCACACAATCAAAGGCTTTTGCATAGTCAATGAAGCAGAAGTAGATTTTTTTCTGGAACTCCCTAGCTTTCTCCATGATCCAGCGTATGTTGGCAATTTGATCTCTAGTTCCTCTGCCTCTTCGAAATCCTGCCTGTACTTCTGGTAGTTCTCGATCCACATACTGCTGGAGTCTAGCTTGTAGGATTTTAAGCATAACTTTACTAGCATGTGAAATGAGTGCAATGGTGCGATAGTTTGAACATTCTTTGGCATTGCCTTTCTTTGGAATTGGAATGTAAACTGACCTTTTCCAATCCTGTGGCCACTGTTGAGTTTTCCAAATTTGCTGGCAAATTGAGTGTAGCACTTTTACTGCATCGTCTTTTAAGATTTTGAATAGCTCAGCTGGAATACTGTCACCTCCACTAGCTTTGTTGTTGCTCAGATTTTCTAAGGCCCATTTCACTTCACATTCTAGGATGTCTGGTTCGAGGTCAATGACTATCTCATTGTGGTTATCTGGGATGTTAAGCTCATTCTTGTATAGTTCTTCTGTGTAGTTTTGCCATCTCTTCTTAATCTCTTCTGCCTCTGTTAGGTCTCTGCCATTTTGGTCCTTTATCATGCCCATCTTTGCATGAAACGTTCCCTTCATATCTCCAATTTTCTTGAAGAGATCTCTGGTCCTCCCTATTCTGTTGTTTTCTTCTATTTCTTTGCACTGTTCATTTAAGAAGGCATTCTTATCTCTTCTAGCTACTCTCTGGAATTCTGCATTCAATTGGGTGTATCTTTCTCTTTCTCCTTTGCCTTTCGCTTCCCTTCTTTCCTCAGCTATTTGCAAAGCTTCCTCAGACAGCCATTTTGCTTTCTTGCATTTCTTTTTCTTTGGGATGGTTTTAGTTGCTACCTCTTGTACAATGTTGCGAACTTCCATCCATAGTTCTTCAGGCACTCTGTCTATCAGATCCAGTTCCTTAAATCTATTTGTCACCTCTACTGTATATTCATCAGGAATATGATTTAGTTCATACCTGAGTGGCCTAGTGCTTTTCCCTACTTTTTTCAATTTAAGCCTAAATTTTGCAACGAGAAGCTCATGATCTGAGCCACAGTCAGCTCCTGGTCTTGTTTTTACTGACTGTATAGAGCTTCTCCATCTTTGGCTGCAGGCACATAGTCAATCTGATTTCTATGTTGACCGTCTGGTGATGTCCATGTGTAGAGCCGTCTCTTGGGTTGTTGGAAAAGAGTGTTTGTTATGACCATCGCATTCTCTTGACAAAATTCTATTAGCCTGTGCCCTGCTTCATTTTGTACTCCAAGTCCAAACTTGCCTGTTATTCCGGTTATCTTTTGGCTTCCTACCTTAGCATTCCAATCCCCCATGATGATAAGGACATCATTTTTTGGTGTTAATTCTATAAGGTGCTGTAGGGCTTCATAGAACCGGTCAATTTCATCCTCTTCAGCACCAGTGGTTGGAGCATAGATTTGGACTACTGTGATATTGAATGGTTTGCCTTGGATTCGAATAGAGATCATTCTGTCATTTTGAGGATTGTATCCCAGTATTGCTTTTCCTATTCTTTTATTGACTATGAAGGCTACTCCATTTCTTCTGAGGGATTCTTGCCCACAGTAGTATACCTGATGGTCATCTGAGTTAAATTCACCCATTCCTGTCCATTTTAGTTCGCTGATTCCTAAGATGTCGATGTTCAGTCTTGTCATCTCTTTTTTGACTACGTCTAGCTTGCCTTGATTCATGGATCTTACATTCCAGGTTCCTATGGAGAAAAAATCTTTACAGCATCGGACTTTCCTTTCACCACCAGATATATCCACAGCTGAGCGTCCTTTCGGCTTTGGCCCAGTGCTTCATTCTTTCTGGCGCTACTAGTACTAGCCCTCTGCTCTTCCCCAGTAGCATATTGGACACCTTCCGACCTGAGGGGCTCATCTTCCAGCGTCATATCTTTTTTGCCTTTTAGTACTGTCCATGGGGTTTTCATGGCAAAGATACTGGAGTGGTTTGCCATTTCCTTCTCCAGTGGATCACATTTTGTCAGAACTCTCTGCTATAACCTGTCCGTCTTGGGTGGCCCTGCACGGCATAGCTTATAGCTTCATTGAGTTACGCAAGCCCCTTCGCCACGACAAGGCAGTAATCCATAAAATGTATTTACTTGGGTTATTTTATATGGTTTTGTTGTTGGATATTTGACTGCCCCAGCACCACGGTGTGTCTCGAGCACTTTGTTGTAAAAGTTAAAAATCAATAAAATTTGTTTTTAAAAAATAAAATAAATATGAATCAATTCCCATCAAAATTTTAGTCATGGGGATGCTACAAAGTGTGAAAAATGATCATATGTCACTTTTTTCAGTACCGTTGTAACTTCTAACAGTCACTAAACAAATGGTTGTACGCTGAGCGTTACCTGTATGGAAAGCACATTTGGAAGTTTTGTGATTGGCTACAATTTGATTTTCTATCCTCTAGTTCTGCTTATAGAAAATATGCTTTGTGAGTTAGCATTGGCTTCTCATTTCTGGCTCTCTGTCTTTCTCTGTCTTTATCACTCTATTTGTGAAATCTTTTCAGGAAAGACAATGTTTATGGTGCTTTTGCATGATTCCTCACAATAATTATGTACCAGTTCAAGCTCTGGTTATTGGGTGAACTTGGAAAATGTCTTTGAGATATGGAAGGTTTCTGCTTTGCTTCAGATTCACTTCCTCTCACTGTGTCTCTCGTACAGTAATAGACAGCCGTGTCCTCTGGTTTGAGGCTGTTCATTTGAAGATACATCTGGCTTTTGGCATTGTCCCTGGAGATGGTGAAGCGCCCCTTCACTTTGTCTGAGTAGAACTTTCCACTGGAATCAGTGTATATGAATGCTACCCATTCAAGTCCTTTCCCAGCAGCCTGTCTCACCCAACCCATGTGGTAGCCACCAAAGTTGAATCCAGAAGCTTGGCAGGAGAGACGGAGGGACTCTCCAGGTCTTCTCACATCTCCCCCAGACTCCACCAACTGAACCTCAGATTGGACACCTAGAAATAAAGGTTGCTTAATAAGACCTCCTGCAGGTAACCCAAGAAACTGAAGAATAACCTCTCTCTTTGGAAGAGAAAACAATACCTTTGAGGACAACTAACAAGGACATGAGGTTTAGCCAGAATGCCATTTCTGCTTGCTCAAAAATTGCACGATTCTTATTGATGAGAAAACAGGCAAGTACCCAACCTTTAAGATGTTGAGTGTAGCAGGAGAGCAGGATGATATGGTTCCTTTGAACAGGAAGCTGTCAATGAATTTACATATTCCTCAGGATAAAAGACACCCAGGCTGCTTTGAACTTCTAGAGTGCCTTCATCCTTCATTGAAGACATGCTTAAAAACTCCTAACATTAATCAAAGCAGATTTTTTTTTTAATCCTTAAGGAATATGTGAAGCAAGAGATTGCTTTTGTAAGAAGGAAAGTCATATCTTGAAAGTTCAACCTGATGCATCATTTGAACATTTAGGGAATATAAATATGGACAAATAACTAGTATCTAGTGCTCTACTACTTTGCATGATAGTGATGTAAATCACTGATAACCATTTTGTGTTCTTTTCGTAGGCAAGACAACAATTTTCCTTCTCTTTCTCCCCATAGAAAATGGGATTGGCACCCTTCCCTTCCCTTCCCTTCCCTTCCCTTCGCTTCCCTTCCCTAGCACTGGCACTCTCTGTGTAAATATTCACCAATATTAAATATATGCCCATATTCTTACATGCACATATATTTTTTCTGCATCTTTCTTTCACCCCAAGTCATAGTTAGGAATGAACAAAAAGAGCAGGCAGTGAACTAAGGAAGAGGAACTTTCTCAAATGAATCAAGCTTGGTCTGAAAATGAAAAAGGAAGAAAGGGAGTTATAGAAAGTCTTTTGGGAGAGGATGGTCTTCAGGGACCTGTTGAGTGATAGTTCGGAAGCAGCAGAGGAAACCATCTGGCTAACAGCTGAAACCACACTTTCATTTTTAGTAAGGTAGAGAATGTCAATTTGTTAGACACTGCTGCCCTCTTTTGCAAAGCAAGTAGAAGGGAGCCATCAGGCTAAAGGTCTGAAGACACTTTCATTATGTGGGAAAGAAAACACGGCATGGGACAATGTTTCTGATCTCCAGGAGTTCTCCAGAGTTTCCAGGTTGAATAGAATGAGCTCATTAGCCCCACCTTAAGAAATAAATAAAAAATAGTATGATATATTTATTCACTTGGAATTAGTTTTCAAAGTGTCATTTTGAAAATATTTAATTTATCCATTTAATTGATAAAGCAAACAATATACAACACACACACACACACACAAAAACACACACATATATGTGTGTGTGTGTGTGCGTGCGTGTGTGTGTATGTGCGTGTGTTGAGTTCTTTTTGATGCGCCCTGTCGGCCCAAATATGGGAGGAAGAAATATATATATATATACATGTACAGACACACATTTCTAAATATATGCACTTATTTCCTTAGAGCTAGCAAATACTCATATTTCTTAGATATAATGTGTAGTTCAGCCCTGATGAAATTGCTGTCAATGAAGTAGAATTCTCTACAGTGACTGATTAGATTCTTTCCATCCCTACAATCCCATCTGCATACTCTAATGGTTTGAAAAACCAATACACATCTGGATATGCTGAAGAGAATGGGAAGAGCAAAGGTTATATAACTCTTAGAACAGTGTTTCTCAACCTTGACAATTTTAAGACATGTGGACTTCAACTCCCAGAAATCCACAGCCAGCATTGCTGGCTGTGGAATTCTGGGAGTTGAACTCCACATGCCTTAAAATTGTCAAGGTTGAGAAACACTGTCTTAGAACTTGTTAATCAACCCAACTACCAGGGCTCTGTATCTCTTAATCCTTCTCCATGACAAGGATGTTTCAGCCAGTTCTTCAGAAAACAAATAGGAGAAAAGAAACAAAAGAACAAGAGAAAGAAGAAGCAAATAGCATGCCATGTGCTGTTCTGAATAGGAGCAGCCTCTCTGAAGTCTAGTACTACTTGTTGTTGAGCTGGAAGAATAACTTGTTCACCTTTGCAGACTATGATGGTCTGAAAGAAGAACCAAGTTACCTCTGTTCATTAATGTGAAAAGATAAAAATCTCTTCAAGCAAAGACCAAGAAACAACTAGGTTTTTCACACTTCCTCCTTTGCTTTATCTCACTGTGGCTTTCGTGCACAGTAATATGTGGCTGAGTCTGCAGCTGTCAGGGAACTCATTGTCAAATAATACTCGTTGCGGGAGTCATCGGCAGACAAGGCTGCTCGGCTTTGGAGGGATGAGGCATAGAATGTTCTCCACTCGTCAGCATACCAGTCTATCTGGCCCACCCATTCCAGTCCTTTTCCTGGAGCCTGGCGGATCCATTCCCACCACACACTCTTGATAGAGTTCCCCGTCACTTTGCAGGTTAATCTAAAGGATTCTCCAGGACTCACTGTTCCTGGTCCAGATTCCACAAGTTGGACAGTGGAGTGGACATCTAAATGAATGACAAAGCAGGAATTAGTACACAACTCTGCTTTTGTTTTATCTCATTGTTGAGGTCTATCTTGAAGATACTCACACACAGGAGCAGATACTACACAAAGAAGAAGAAGAAGAATGGCAAGATCCATTGGGCAGTGAGAAATACAATCTTTCTTTACAGCAATGATACTTTGGGTCTGGGATGCTCCTTGGTGTGACTGTGATTATTTAAAGGAGAAACAGCTCAGTGATCTCATTTGCATCTGAGTTTCAAGTGGAAGTTAAAACCACTTTATAAGAATGTAGGTTAAGTCCACCAGTTAGTCCTAGCCCTGAAGTGGGACATTGATTGTGGTTTCATATATGTAAAGAAGTATGGATGGCGAAATGAGAGATGGTGCTTTGGGAATGAGTAGAATGGCTTAAATCAATCAATGAGTTTCAGTCCACAATAGAACTTTAACCATGGTTTCACTTCTAAAATCCCAACTATTTGTCATGATTTAATTTGGATTAATACAGGACTATTGAATATGGACTAGATGGCAATAAATAATCTTTTTTCTCTTTGCTTCCCTCTTGTAGATCTGCAAGTGGATTAACTCCATCAGTGAATCCTACCTAGCCCAGAAAGGAGATTTTGTGGTTTCCAGGAAATCAGTTCACCACCAAACATTTTCTTTGAAAAAGTTGAATAAGTTACTTTGTGGTCTTCAAAAATATTCAGTTTGCCCTTGAATATGGTTAAAAAGAAGAGAAAAATTCTGGATATAAATGTACATTAGTATTTTGTGTATATTAAGTAGTATACTATCTTCTTATTTCTTTTCTTTTTTTCCTTTTTCTTTTCTTTGATTTTTTTTTCTTTTTTTAAGATATGAGAAATGTAAAAGTGTTGGGATGGCCAGTATGAGGAAAAAAACTTAAATACTTATTTGTAATGAAAATCTTAACCACTAAGAATGTTTTGAATATTGTGGGGAAAGCAAATTTAAATAAGAATTTTAAACAGGATCTATGATAAGGCAGTCAAGATGATCAGTTAGAAAAGAAGTTTTATATCAATGTGGTGTCATGGTTCCGGCTAATGAAACACTTCAAAGAACTTCCAGGCATTGATTTTCCTAAAAGTCTTTTATTACATTACAAAATGTCGGCATGACATAACGAAGGAATACTAAGATCTAAATTCTCTTCCCCTGAGCAATTAATTATCAGCATGTTTCCTCCCTAAATTTGCTGTCATATATCATGTTCTCCAATTAGTGTGAAGGGCAAAGGTTCCCTTCCTCTCTCTTTTGCGGGCTATTCCCTCCTTTCCCCTCTGCTCTACATTAACTCTAAAAATACCAGACAGTTCTGCATATTTTGTCAAAGCAAGAATATACAGTATTTGCAGCGTTGACATGTGGTTATTATTTGCAGAAATATTAAAAAAAAATGTCTACATTTAATTGTTATTTATCCAACTAATAAGAATTGTATTAATTCAAGGATGGCAAAAGAGAACATTTTTGGAAGAAGAGAACATCAAGAAAAGTCAATGGCCTATAGAAGTATAGAAACTAATTGCTATTGATTGTTTTTTTTTTTAATAACAACAACATTGTGATCTTTACCAAATATTAAGGTGATTATGTAAAAAAATAATAAAACATATTTTTAAAAAAATCAGTTTGCCTTGTGTTCAAGAAAGAAGGACTATACTGAACTCAGCTTTGGTTTTATGAAAAGAATAGTAGCTTCTTGAGAAACTTGACTGACATGTGATAGCAATAGCACTTAGACTTATATATCTCTTCACAGTGCTTTACAGCCCTCTCTAAGCAGTTTAAAGAGTCAGCATATTGCCCCCAACAAGCTGAGTCCTTATTTTATCCAGCTTGGAAGTATGGAAGGCTGAGTCAACCTTGAGCCAGTGATACTCAAACTGCTGAACTGCTGGCAGCTGGCAGTCAGTAGAAGTAGCCTGCAGTGCTGCATTCTAACCACTGCCCACATCAAGATGATCTCTATGAATTTTCAAGCCAGCAACCAAGGGAATAATTAGGCTCAAAATTGAAATCTCATCAAAACTTGTGATGTGATTTGCCTTCCCCTCCCCCTATGAACAATCCAATTATGTGGGACAATAGTGACCCCTGGTGTAAAAGGTCTGGTTCTCCAGGGAGATGCTTGCTTTGAAAGAGAGGAAGTAAGTGTAGGAAGGCATAGCTGAACTCCTGAAGATCAAAACAGCTACAATGAGAAATCAAAACTGCTCTTTGATTTTCTCATCAGAAATATCCATGGGAAGGTTACTGCTCTGGAGAATTTGGAGAGGGCAAAGTTCTCATTTTGATCTTTCTAATAAAGCCATCAGACACTAAGGTCCAAAGGAGATCAGGATTCCTTTTACAAAGTTAGGCAAGGCTGCCTTGTTTTTCCTTTGTCCTAGCTCAGCTCATAGAAAATTAGGATGAAAAACATGAAATTAATCGAGGAGAGAAGGAATCTAGAACTAACTGTGAGAACCATCAACCAGTGGAATGGCTTGCCTTCAGAAGTTGTGGGTGCAGAAAAAGAGACAAGAGAAATTGACAGCCATTTGCCTGAAATGGTATAGGGTTTTCTGCTCAAGCACAGGGTTGGACTCGAAGACCTCCAAGGTCCCTTCCAACTCTGACTGACATGGGATAGCAATAGCATATACTGCTTCACAGTGCTTTACACCCCTCTCTAAGCAGTTTACAGAGTCAGCCTATTGCCTATTGCCCCCAACAATCTGGGCCTTCATTTTACCAACCTTGGAAGGATGGAAGGCTGAGTCAACCTTGAGCCAGTCAGAATTGAACTGCCAAACTGTAGGCAGCCAGGAGTCAGCAGAAGTAGTCTGCAGTACTGCATTCTAACCACTGCGCCACCATGGCTCAAGACTCTAGAACAGGGGATGAGAAGTAGCAGTTCTTATTCAAGAATCTCTGGTAGCCATTATCAGTGCTATTCCACACAGTTTGATGGTTATGCAATCCTTTTCCTGAACCTTGTCTCATGGGAGAAGTTGGACTTGTTTCTCTTGTACTAACCTCCCTGTTGGTACACTCTTCCTGCTGTAAATATTTCCTTCAGAATTCCCAGTTATTAAATATACAGCTTTTCCATCAACTGGGTACACATCCAAAGATGGTGGATATACATTTAGAGAAGGGAGATTGAATGAACTATTAGAGGTAAGAAAAGAAAATGGAAAACTAAGCTGGTAATTACCAGGGAAACGTCAATGTGATTGACAGGTCAAAAAAAAGCAGTAACTTAAATGACAGTAAGAAACAAAATCCGAATATTTCAAAGAAATAAATATGGATCAAGGGTATGAAGAAATGTGAGCAGTGAAATGAAGGAGGAGGTTTGAGGAATGACTAGATCAGTTGATGGTGAACCTTTTAGAGACCAAGTGCCCAACTCCCCTTATGCTGCGTTCATGGGTTTGATAGGGATGAGAGGAGAGAAGGTGTAGAGAGGAAGTAGGGTATTGAGAGGAGAGGGGGAGGGGAAAAGAGTAGGAGGGGAGGAGAGAAAGAGGAGGGAAGTAGGGAATGTTTTAAGAAAGGGTGGACACAGCCTGGGGGGAATGGGCGGGTCGCACCAATGGTTATGAATTTATCTTATTTTAAAATTATATTGTATTTTTATAATGTTTAAATGGAAAAAATAAAAAATTTCAATTAAAAAAAAAAAGAGACCAAGTGCCCAAACTGCAACCCAAAACCCACTTATGTATCATTGGGTGCCGGGTGGATGTGGCCCATTGGGTGGGCATGGCTGCAGTGGTAACAGCAGACTGGGTGGGACTAAAAAGTTTAATCAATCAATTCCAACTTTGCGAGATCTTTTTTTTCCCATGAGAAGTTGAAATTGATTTATTGATTAAACTTTTTTTTTTGCACATGGCAGCAGAGGCCTAAAGCGAAAAGGTTTTATAAAACCCAGCTGAAGCCCTAGGACTGGGGTGATGGCGCGCGTGCCCACAGAGAGGGCTCTGCATGCCACCTGTGACATGCGTGCCATAGGTTCACCACCACGGGACTAGATTGACTAAGTATCACTCAATATGAAATGGAGGTGAGGAGCTGATTGTCAGAAAATAAAAAGAAGAATCTTTTTGTAAAGAAAAATGAAGGTTGAATTTCAAATTAAAACCTGGGAGAAGAATACTAATAATGAATCTGTATTTCTAATGTAAGAGAAATTTACAAAACTGCTTTGTGAAATGGGCAGTTTTTGCTTTGCTTCAGATTCACTTCCTCTCACTGTGTCTCTGGCACAGTAATAGACTGCCGTGTCTTCAGCTTTGAGGCTGTTCATCTGCAGATACATCTGGCTTTTGGCATTGTCTCTGGAGATGGTGAAGCGGCCCTTCACTTTGTCTGAGTAGAACTTTTGACTGGAATCAGGATAGATGTATGCCACCCATTCCAGTCCTTTCCCTGGAGCCTGTCTCACCCAGCCCATGCTATAGCTGCTGAAGGTGAATCCAGAGGCTTGGCAGGAGAGACGAAGGGACTCTTCAGGTCTTCTCACATCCCCTCCAGACTCCATTAACTGGATCTCAGATTGGACACCTAGAAGGAAAAGTTGTTTAATAAGACCCAATAGTGTAATATATAAAAAGGCGGAGTAAACCATCTCTTTGGAAATGAAACTAATACCTGTGAGGACTAGGAGTAAAGACATAAAGTTTAGCCAGAGTGCCATATTTCCTTGCTCAGAGGATTCCTATTGACTGCAAAGCATCCAGAGAAGCACTCAACATTTGTGTCTTTGGGTGTAGCAGGAGAGCAGGATGATATGGTTCCTTTGGACAGGAAGCTGTCACTCAATTTACATAGCCCTCAGGATAAAAGAGCTACATGCTAGGACCTTCTAAACCTCCACTTAAAAAATGCTGAAAAAGTCCCAACATTAGTCAAAGCGGACAATTTTGAACTTCTAATCAATACATGAAGCATCAGGTTTATTCTGTAAGAAGTAAAGCCTTGACAATCCAAAGTGATACCTCATTTGAGCAGGAAATTGCTCCTGAATTTGCATAACTTTGGGATCAAAATGCCACTCTCTGTTTTGACCTTGTAGATTTCCTTAATGTATAATAATAATAATAATAATAATAATAATAATAATAATCATCCACATCTGCCTATCCCAGGTCCTGGGTAAGGACTCAATAGGTAGACAAAATGCCAAATCCAGTCTGAACATCTGGCTGTGCGATGATCGATAATAATAATAATAAAGTTGGAAGGGACCTTGGAGGTCATCTAGTCCAACGCCCAGCTCAGGCAGGAAACCCTATACCATTTTGGAGAAATGGCTGTCCAGTCTCTTCTTAAAAACTTCCAATGTTGGAGCATTCACTGCTTCTGGAGGCAGGTTGTTCCACTAGTTAATTGTTCTAACTGTCAGGAAGTTTCTCCTTAGTTCTAGGTTGCTCCTCTCCTTGATTAGTTTCCATCCATTGCTTCTTGTCCTGCCTTCAGATGCTTTGGAGAATAGCTTGACTCTTGCTTCTTTATGGCAACCCTTAAGATATTGGAACATGGCTATCATCCTTCTCTTCATTAAACTAGACATACCCAATTCCAGCAACCGTTCCTTATAGGTTTTAGCCTCCCGTCCCCTAATCATCTTTGTTGCTCTTCTTTGTACTCTTTCAACATTTTTTTTACATTGTGGTGACCAAAACTGGATGCAGTATTCCAAGTGTGGCCTTACCAAGGCATTGTAAAGTGGTATTAATACTTCACATGATCTTGATTCTATCCCTCTGTTAAATGCAGCCTAGCACTGTGTTGGCTTTTTTGTCAGCTGCAGCACACTGCTGGCTCTAGTGATTGTCCACTAGAACGCCAAGATCCCTCTCACAGTTACTACTATTGAGCAAGGTACCACCTATACTATACCTGTACATTTGGTTTTTCTTATCTAAACGCAGAACCTTACTTTAGATTTATTAATACATTCTAATAAATAATAAAAAGGGTAAAATGTTAAAATTGTTACACAAAGAGGTAAGATTTTTTCAAGGGAGAAAGTAAAATGTTATTTTGCAAAAGTTCCAACTGAGAAAAGTGTTTCTAGAATCAACAGTGACGCACAGACACACCCTTACAGAAGTATTTATTAGCCACCTAAGAGACAGACTGGGAGGATATGTGACAGTCCATCCATTATTGATAAGATCCCATGGTTTGTTAAAGCAAACAGACTAAATGTGATGCAGGCTCACAGAGGAAGAAGATACACTGGTGTCTGTTGCAACCCGAGAAGTCACTTCCCAAAAATGACTTCATATTTACTTTGAGTAAGTTGAATAAGTCACCTTGTGGTCTTCCAGAAATACAATTTCCTTTATGTTCAAGAATGGAGGTTGGTAATGACATCAGCCTTGGTTTTATGGAGAAGATAGTAATTTCTTGAGAAGCATTCCAGGCATGGAACAATTCCTACATTTTTTTTTTCCTGTGGAGTCTTTGTTCTACCTTCTCTCTTCCCTTTCTTTTACAAACTTCAATTTTCCTAGACATCATCATTTTTTCCCCATAGTCTATCCTAATTGCATTCTTCAAATCTATGAGTTCCTCCTTGTTGGCCCACTTATGAAAATGAACACATCAATGTAGAGTTGAGTAGAGCCTCAACTGCAAACAATTTCCTCTCTTTTCTTTACCATGAAATGGCCATCATTCACATCTGGGGGAAGCTACATCAACCTGTTGTTTCTGACTTACCCTGACTGAGCAGTGGACTATCATTGTGGTCTCTTCCTTCCCCTCTGAGTATGCTGCAGCTGAACTGCCTAGTGGTGTTTCCATAAACAAAAGGAGGTTTTGCATTGCCTTTTCTCACGGTGTGGCTGGCTCTCTTGTACAGTAATAGAAAGCAGAGTCTTCAGGTTTGAGGGAGTTCATTTGCAGGTAGATTGTGTTGGAGGCATCTCTCCTGGAGATGGTGAAGCGTCCTTTCATCGAGTCAGCTTAGTACACGGGGCTCTGATCACCTGTGTTGTCTACCCATGCAACCCATTCCAGTCCTTTCCCAGGAGTTTGTCTCACCCAGTGCATTTCATCTCTCCTGAATGTGGTTCCAGAATACTGACAGGAGAGATGGAGGCACTGACCAGACCTTTTAGTGTCTCCTCCGGATTCCACCAACTGGACCTCCAAGTGGATACCTGGACAGAAGGATATAATATTCCATTTTTTTCATATGACTTCACAGACAAATGCCATCTTTTTTTCCCCCTCTAGTTCAAAGGTAGACTTTGAGTTGCAAACAGGCTTAGAACAATTCCAGATTTTGTAGCTGAAATACGGCAGCCAAATCACCAATCGTGGTCTTTCGTTTGCCAAATAAAGCTGCTAACATGCTAGCAGAGGTGACAAGCTCCTAAGATTCAACCCACTTCCAATCCTGCTATTAAAGTCCCCAAATCTGTCTGAAAATAATCTGAAAGGTTGTCAGTGAAATCCATCCAGTTGAATGTGCAAGCATTTTCAGATGTTCTTGTTCTGAGTTTGATTTTGCAGATTTGGAGAAATTTTAAAAAGAGAATGAAAATGTTTTGACTCCCCAACCCCCCCCCCCACTTTAACTACAAGTCTTGTATCTGCCCCCAAATGGAAAAGAGGGGGGGGAGATTTAGATCACCCCCTTTCTTCATCACTCTCCCCTGTAGTCTTATCTGAAAGTTGAGACACCATCTTACAAGTCTGAATCAACAGATGCTGCCCATCCCTGTATGTGTGTGTGTGTGTGTGTGTGTATTTCCCTGTCATATATAAAAAGAGGAAAGATTACCTGTGAAGACAGTTGCAAGGAGAACTAACTGCAGCCAAATCATTATTTTTGAGTTCCTCTCACTTGGTAAAAAAACAAAACAAAAAAAAACACTGCATTTATTTCTCTGGATGGTGTTGTGGGTGGAAGGATGGATGCAAAGTTTTGTTTTGTTTTTTTTTAAAGCAAGTATCTCCATATTTGCATAAACCTTCAGATAAAGAGGATCATGAAAACCATTTGGAATTAATCATTCAGAAAAAAAAGATAGTTTTGAGAAAACCCAGAAAGCCCTTTTGGGTCAAGAATGCAACGTTTTCATAAGCACACAACCTGTTATTGCACCTGGGAAATAGATGCAAGATATTGCTATATCACAGGATTCTTTTCAGAATTGTATCACTTATCTGCAGAACTTCGTAAGGCCAAGGTGGGGAGAAGTCAGAGGACTGTGTGAGATGGCATAGTCTCATATCTTGTCCTTAGCTAAATGGGAAACATCAGTAAACACAGCCATGTTCATCTTTGTAAAACTCAGGAAAATAATAATAACAACAACAACAACAACAACAACAACAACAACAACAATAATAATAATAATAATAAATAAATAAAGTTGAAAGGGACCATGGAGGTCATCGAGTCCAACCCCCTGCTCAGACAGGAAACCCTACACCATTTCAGACAAACGGCTGTCCAGTCGTTGGAGCATTCACAGCTTCTGAAGGCAGGTTGTTCCATTGATTAATCGTTCTAACGGTCAGGAAATTTCTCCTTAGTTCTAGGTTGCTTCTTTCCTTGATTAGTTTCCATCTGTTGCTTCTTGTCCTGCCTTCAGGTGCTTTGGAGAATAGCTTGACTCCCTCTTTGTGGCAGCCCCTGAGATATTGGAACACTGTTATCATGTCCCCCCTCGTCCTTCTCTTCATTAAACTAGACATACCCAATTCCAGAAACTGTTCCTCATATGTTTTAGCCTCCGGTCCCCTAATCATCTTTGTTGCTCTTCTCTGTACTCTTTCTAGAGTCTCGGCATCTTTTTTACATCTTGGTGACCAAAACTGGATGCAGTGTTCCAAGTGTGGCCTTACCAAGGCATTGTAAAGTGGTAATTGTTTTATCCATTGTCAGCCTTACAAAGTAGAGCAGATGCTCCAGGTCTACTTAATTGTAAGGATTCATTATCAGAATCTTGTAATTCTGAAAGATTTTAGTTCTCCCCTCCTGTCACAACCCCAAAATTAGGGAGGGTCTCTTCCTTTTTTTAATTGTGCTTTTTATTTTTATTCTATTCAAAAGATTAAAACACAAAATCCCAAGGGGGGAAAAATAACTCAGTTTAAAACAAAACTAGAAAAGAACATTAAAAATGTGAATTAAAATGACAAAAACCAAAAAACATTTTATCCCCTCTCGTTAAACATTGGCAGATATATTGCAACGATAATATGCCATTTATCTGTTATTGTAACTTACCCAGGAAGCATCTACAATGTTTTCATTACAGGGAGGGTGTCTTCCAAGCTTCTTGTCCCACCCACATTCCTGCTGCAGGTCTAGGACAACACACCATGGCCAACTCACCACAGCCAACTTATCATAGCCAACTCGCCACAGCCAATTTCTCATGAGACGATTCACCATGAAACAAGAGTTACACTAAAATGTAAGGAGGTGGAATAAGATCATTAAAAAGGGGGTCAAAAGGACTGCCAAAATGAATTATAGTAATAATAATAGTAGTAAAGTTGGAAGGGACCTTGGAGGTCATCTAGTCCAACCCCCTGCTCGGGCAGGAAACCCTACACCATTTCGGACAAATGGCTGTCCAGTCTCTTCTTAAAAACTTCCAGTGTTGAGTATTTACCGCTTCTGGAGGCAGGCTGTTCCACTGATTAATTGTTCTCACTGTCAGGAAGTTTCTCCTTAGTTCTAGGTTGCTTCTCTCCTTGATTAGTTTCCACCCATTGCTTCTTGTC